GTGGAGCTCTGTGAGTTCGAGGCCAGCCTGGTCTACAGTGGGAGTTCCAGGACAGGCTGCCAGGCTATAACGAAACCCTGTGTTAAACAAACAAACAAACAAACAAGGCTTAAAAATTAATAAAATGTTTCTGTGCTTGAAAATTAGTGTTTTCGGAAGTGAAATTTCGGCAGTTTACTTAGGTTTAGTTAGGTAATGGGGAGAATGTGCGTCTAATTAAATTCTGTCTTAAGCAGTATTAAAAGTCAGTGGGCTGTGATTTGGTGGAGACTGAGTCGAAATGGTTTGTTTGAACTTGGACCCAGAAAAGAAGGGGTTAAAGGTGTGATGCAGGTAAGAAAGGGTTAAGGGCATTATGCAAGCTGTTAAGTAAAAAGGAAGTGCATTACAAAATGCTGAGCTCAGGAGTCTGGCTGCCAGCCAAGCCTTTGCTTCCCTCACTACAGCTGAGGGCTTTCGAAGCTTCCCACCACTGGGTTTGTCTGAACTGTTTAGGAATGCGGCCGCGGTCGCCAGCTGACGTCACCCTCACCGGTTCAGCCCCGGGCCAGAGCCGCTCTCCTGACTCTGTTGGCTGGAGTGGGCGGGGCAGAGCGGGACCTTTTTGTGACTGACAGCGAGTGGGTGGGGTCGCATTGTGTGCTGGAGAGGGCTACAGAAAAGCCCGGAGCCAGCAGGTTTGGTGGTATTAATACTAAGATTATCGATAATGATACTTACTACTAAGGCCGACAACTTTCTTTTTTGTTAGAGTTCTGTAATGCTTCTGCTTAATTTAAACAAAAGTAAATATAACTTACATAGCAACCTGCCAATTTCAAAGTTTTTCTTTTTTTGAGAAAGGGAGAGACTGTAAAATCTTTTGCTGATTTTTCAGATGAGGGAACAGAAAGGTGATGTTGTGTTGGATGGTGAGGCCCTCGACATTGCTTACTAAAATCCATTTTCATTTTTGACTTGGCATGTGGAATAAATCTAAAAAGCTATGAGTGCAATTTTGTAAAGCAGATCAAAAAGTTGGGAAATTATGTGAAAAAGAGCCAATTTTGAATATGTCTGTATGAAAACCACCCTGGGCATGCTAGCTCTGGGTTATTGCAACTGGTATTTTAGCCTTTAAAGAAAAATGTTGGCCTTAACCTCGATGACATCTCATTACTTGTAGAGCTGTTTTCTCATATCTCGCCCTGTTTCATGATGGTTAACTTTACTGTTCAACACATTTGTTTTCTTGACTTAATTAGATCATTTTGCTTAGTCATAGCTGAGAGTTTTGTTAGTCCTCTGGTTCTTAGCTAATGTGAGTCAGAATCACGAACAAATTTATTAGCTATTTTGTGAAAGGGGGTTTGTTTAGGTAGTGAGAAGTGCGGTAATGGCCATGGTATATAGTACTGGTTTGTAGATTGTAAAAAGGGGCCACTGAGCTTCCTGGGAAACTTACATGACTTGACTAGGTCAACAAAGAAAGACTATTTTAACTGGCTACTTAAGTTTACCTGAGGAAGTTTATTTTAATTTACTGGCTTTGAGAAACTGTTTGAGGGATTCCCCAATTTATAAAAGTGTTAGTACTAAGAAACTTCATTTTGTGATCGTGATCAGTCTGTTACACATTTTGGCATTCACCCATCATGTTAGTCATTAGGGTTTTGCTTATGTGAAGGAAGTCCAAAGACTAAGAAGAAACAATGCGAAAATTTATACCTTGTTTTTTTGGCAAAGGCAGCATACTTGGCCAAAAATTATACAAGTGCTTAATTGCTCAATACTAAACTGACAGAATTTAAGGGTGTTCTGAGATTTTTATAATAGCACTGTAATGATTAGTATATTTTCTTTTCAAAGCATGTGTTCGTGTGTGCATGCTTGTGTTTGTGTGTTTTACACGAAGGCACAGACTTGTATGTAACAGTGTGGGATTAGAACTGTCATTGGCCCTTCGACTTTCTGGACCCTTTTCTCCCCTGCACATACAGTTACAGAGAACGTCTCTAGTTGCTTAAAGCCCATTTTTTGATATGTGCTCTTGGATCAGTGGGAGTTTTTATCTGTGTGCCACACTCTATCGAAGAAGGAATAGTTAGGGCTTTAAAACTTTAAAACAACAACAACAACAACTGAGAATATGAGGAAAACAGCCTTCATAAAATATTTACCAGTGAAAGGTAATGAGCTTAAGTTATTCAAGATAACTTTGTCAGGGGTTGGAATACCAGCAATCCGATTTTATTGTCAAGACAAAGTCACAGATCACTATCTAAGGCTAAGTTAGTCTTATAGGTAGGGTGGGTAGAGTAAGTGTGGTGGTCTTGGGAATTACTAGAGATGAAAGAAGCCGATGGGGATTGTTTGCACAAGAGACTTCAGGACAAAAGGCATTCATAGGTTGCTCAAGCAGTCCACGTTCTGTGGAGGAATATAGGAAGGATGTGAGGATGTGGAAGTGGTAAATTCCCATAGTGCTATTTTCTTCCTAATTCACTAAGACCTGTTGAAGATGGTGAGTCATGTCTAGTAATGCTTGGGATTTCCCTCATGTGCTATTATATTAGGTAGGGTTCCATAGAGCAACAGGGTCAGTTGACTGAATATTATTGCAAAAGGGCTTATTAGCTTGGCCTACAGCATATGTATTTGCTAATCCAACAGTGATTATTGTACACTGGAAAACAGAGAACTGGTCTAGGTGCCTTGATGATCTGAGGAATTTCTAGAGAGCCACCGACCTTCAGCCCGTGTTGGAAGTCTGAAGAACTGGATTCTGATGTCATTGGAGGATGGTGGCAGCAGTGACAGATGCCATTGCGTAGATGCACTTACCAACAGAGGCAAAGGCAGACAGGCACAACAACACCAGTTTTCCCCACAGACCTCCTTATTTATATCTGCACTGTGTGGGGAAGGTCACTCCCCTTCAGGGGGAGGGTGCCCCCTCAGTTCATCCTTTAGGGAAGCAGCCTCATAAATCCCTAGAGGTCTGTGGTGTGTTTCTTAGTTGATTCTAGATCCAGCCAAGGTGAAGAACAACATGATCACACCTGCTGTTGAAGCTTCTCTTCATGGAGTGTCATCACTTCTCCCTGAAAACCATGAGACTTCTTGAATAGTTTAATAAGAAGTTTAGAAATTCCAGTACTAAGTAGTTTCCAGGAGCCCTCGAATCAAATACTCTGCTGCTTTTGATCTTCCTGCTAGCTGATTATTTGCCTGTCAGAGCATATGCAACTCTGATTCCTAGGGGTGTGATAGCATCCTTTTCATGGATTCTCTCAGAAGTGATGAGTGACTAGCAGGTGAGATTTTTTAGGCAAGTGATTAGAACCTCATTGCTCATGAGATATGCATCATGCATTTGATGCTTGTAGTTCCATCCCTTTGGGAGTGATTTAGTGAAGCTTCCCCCCTCTTTTGAACTCACGTAGCCTGTATACCTTAGCTATCAGCCTTGTCAGCCATTGTGTATGTATGTAATGTATATGCTCAGACAGCCCTAGCTTTATGTGACTGCTGGGGTCTGACCTCAGTTGTTCTCGCTAATTCAGCAAACATGCTTACCTACTGAGCTATCTCATCAACGCCTATTTATTCACTTACTTACTGTTTTTATTTCTATTTTGAGGTAGGACCTCAGTATAATATAGAACCCTAGGCTGGCCTCAAACCTGCAGTTTTGGTGCTGGGGTTATAGGCATGTACCAACATGCAGAGCTAGGGCTTTGGTTTTAAAATACTATAAACACATAAACTGGTATACATTTTAAAGAATGGATTGATTGAAGCAGATCATACACAATCGGTTTTGCTACATAAGTTACAATGTGGGTGTCTGTGTATATGTATGTGTAAAGAGAGATTGATTAATTGTAATTAGAAAGCCCCCAAAAGACTCCAAAAACAATGAGAATATCACAAAATGGTAGTTTTAGAATTGGAAGATACTTGAGGAATAATTTAAGCATCCTGTCAATGTACAAGTGAATAAGCCGAGGCAGGGCAAAGTCAAGTGACTTACAGAGCTTTAACTATCCAGTAGGCAAAGAGTGAGAGCCAAGACTGGAGCACTAGCACTAGAGAGGTCGGTACTTTGAAGGTGGACTCTACTAAAGCAATGGGAAATGATACCTGCTTTTGTTCATGGAATTCATAAAACCTCCCCAAAGAGTTTTGAAAAGCTCAGTAATTTTAACACACAAAGAAAAACTTGCTGTAAAACTCTGTCATTTTTATTTGGAGAAATCTAGTGCCTGGCCAGGCAAATGAAGGGAGAAGACAGAAGCATGTTTATGACATGTGGACACCCTACTGTAAGGACAAAAAAGAGGGACATCTTTGAAGATGCTTCCTCGAATTCTTTAAAGCACAGATACAGTGTAAACTTACTTACTAAGAGCAGCTGCTTTTTACATTTGTCAGTCTGGGTTTATAATCTATTGGAGGTACTGCCCTTGTAGAGTGACTTTTCTACCAAGAAAGCCGCTGTGGCCTGTGGGATCAAATTGACGTTTCCTGTCAGCAGTAGGTCTTGGCTTCTGTAGTCACTCATTGGGTTTAGCTGCCCAGAGGAGTTTACAAAGATCACAAGATAATTCTACTGTTATCTTGCTGGTTGTGTTACTGCTGATGGTATCACATCCATTCCAGTTCCACACACCTACTGAGTAAACCAGTGCTGTGTCTGGGCTCCCGATTAAGTTGATGCTCGTTTTTATTTGTTCTCACAGCTACATTACAACATCCAGATGTTAAGATGAAGCTGTTTCCAGGCTTCCAGGTATAGAATTGCATTACCCAGACAAAATATGACCCTACCCACCTGTGACTATTTCAGTTTAAACCAATTCAGTTAAATAACATAAAACGTGTTCCTTGGTTTTGCATTTGGTGTGGCTAATGTATTGCATAGCTTAGGTATGGAACATTTCCTCATTGGAGAAATGTTAGATGGGCAAGACTGTCTAGAATCACATTCCTTTTCCATCAATACAAATTCCTCTGATAGACTTTTTTTGTCCTGACAGATATTCCCCTTAAGGCAGTGATGTTGTGTAGCCATCTTTTGGTTGCATTAATTATATATACAAAGAGAACACAAAGCCAATAATGACGTGATCTGGACTGGTGTTAGATGTATGGCTAGGTTAGAAGTAGCCATGGCTTTTGTTAAATGGAAGAGACTGGAAATAACTCTTAGTACGTCTGGGTTTAGGCCCAACTCTGCCACTTACATGAAATATAGACTTGAGCTTATTCTTTGTTTTCTAATTTTAGTTTCCTCACTTGTCAAATAGTAAAAGAGTGGTGTGCCACATAAATTGGAAAAGTATCTATTTATCTATCTATCTATCTATCTATCTATCTATCTATCTATCTATCTATCTATCTATCTATGCTTTGTTTTTGGAGGCAGGGTTTCCCTGTATAGCCTTGGCTGTCCTGGAACTAGCTCTGTAGACCAGGCTGGCCTTGATCTCACAGGTATCTGCCTGCCTCTGTCTCTCTCAACTGCTGGGATTAAAGGTGTGTGCCACCACTGCCAGGCTGAAAAATGCTTTATAAACTGTATTCTATGTGGCCATTGTGCAAACTACAGACAGTAGGATTTTTAATCTGTAATAGCAATT